TCCATTGAAAATTTCTCAAACTACAAGAACAAATCAAAACGCATGTCCTGTCTGTTTCAAATTAAAATTTGCACACGTCAAGGCTGGTTCAAAAGCATAACAACAATGTTTGTCCTTTCTCAGAAAAAAAAACAAGGAAAATGATAAACTTGTTTCCTTTTCTAGTAGTGACATTTCCATTGAAATTTTACTCGACTACGAGAACTAAACAAATCAAACAAAACATATACCCAGTTTCTTTCCCAATAAAATTATCACGCATCAAGCCTAGTTCAAAAATACAAAAACGAATCAATATACCTTCATCAAATCTCTGTGCTTTCCAATAGTAGAAAATACAAACTTCTATCAATTTCTGGCAACACTGTCACTCTGCTAAACTCTTACCACCCGAGAAAATTCCTAAATTCAGCTCGCAACTAGGTCCGAACAGGATTGGATCCCGACCCATTTGAACCCCTGCGATAAGGTCCAAAACTAACCCCACCCCACCAATTTTCTCTTCGAATTAAGCTAACCCAAACTACAAATGAACCATATTTTGAAAAATAAAAATAAAAAAAGTGCGTGTTCCCCCTGGACAAATCACAGAACGAAAACAAAATGTAAGGGGTTGAAGAATACCGTGTGATGGGAGGAATGAGAATGCGTGACGAGAAAAGATAGAGCGAGGAGAATGCAGAAGGTGATGGAGATGGGCAGAACTGGAGAGAGTGAGAGTTGAGATGGCGGAATGTGGAAATCGATGATTCACCATTTTGGTGTGAGCTTCAGAGAGAGTGATGTTGGTTTGATTCAAAAGAAGCGTCACTCGCTGGCTCGCTCAACTCAACAACCAAAATCATGCACTCTGGTTTTCTCTATCACCACCTTTTTCGCAAAGAACGACAGAAAATTAGGCGCAGATTTCACCAATATTTTGGGTAGATTTTAACTCCAGAGTTGCGGTAGTAATTGTTTGAAGACACCCAAACCTAATACAAACATGAAATTTCAGACTCAAATACTAAAGAAAAATTAACACGACATGAACTTTTAGACTCGAATACGAAGATAAAACATAAGTAATTCATTACAAAATGTGTATTGAAAGAACTATACTCATTTAGTGTATCTTAAAGTACTCGTCTGATCAAATAATTTATAAAATTATTTAATATGTATAAAACAGTCACGCGTCTAATATATAATGCTATATTTATATAAAATATATGAATAAAATTGTCTAATAAATATACTGACAAATTCTTTTAATATTGTTTGGTTTTGATAATACGTATGGGAACAATTGCATCAAGTGTATATATATTGGGTAACAAAATTTTAATTAGATTTATATAATTTTTTTACATAATATTGTGTGAAAAGTGAATTATGATATTGTGTCAATCTGATTAGTGGGCTACTTCACTTGCAATCGTTATGAACAAAGAGTAGTTTATTATTAAATCATTTTTATTTTACATAAGAAAATATGATTTTAAATTTAAGTTTTTTGAATTATGGAAAATACTAACGCGATTATTTAAAGAATACAAGAGTAAATTACCTATGAATTTACACTATGAAAATGACATAACATTAGTGAGTTGTACAATTTGTGCTTTAAATCAATGTTAAAAGTTAAAATGCTAAGAAATTTCATTGGTGGTACAAGATACAGGAGGTGTCTCACCTTCTACAAGTAAACATACTAAATTTACAATATCAACTTATTATTATATTTACTATAAGATAACATAAAATAAGTTTAAGTGCTCACAGATTTAATTAATCGATCATTATATTGATACTGTTCTCTTATAAAATTAATTACTCAAAAACATAAATACATCAATTAATTAATATATATATATATATATATATATATATATATATATATATATATATAGGACACATCATTATATCTTCACTCGCAATACATTATTAAATCCTCTTTTTAGTATCTAATTTTTTATATACACATACCCACATTATCTATATTTAAAATTTTGATCTAATTTGGTTTTAAATTTTAAAAATAAATGAATATAGTGAAACTTAAATATATTAAATTTTGTTGAGATCTTCAAGTGTATTTAAAATTGATATTTGAATTATTATATATTTGTGATATAATAAGTCTGAGCGCACCTTGTTTGATTGTGTAAAAAATTCAAAAAACTTAAATTAGAATAATTATATATTAACTTTTAAAACTGAGAAATTCAACTGTATCAAAATTAGAAAGATTAACAAATTCTAACTTTACATCAAAATTTAAAAATTAAAAACATATTTATATGTTTTTTTTATATCATTATTTTTTAAATATAACCTACCCAAAATCCATGTCATGCAAGTTGTTTGTAGGAGTTTATTTACGTACCCATTTTAACAATTATAAAAGATAATTTCTTTTTTAAACTTTTCCATGTAAATAAAGTTAAGTTGTGAATTAATAATATGCACATTTACATTGTATTAATTTGTCCTTGTAAAACCGATAAAGTTCTTCAAATATTAAAAAGCCAAAAGAATAATTTTTAATTCGTTAAAAGTATTTATATAAATTATGTCTTTCTTACAAATACCACTAATGTAATATATATTTTAAATACTAATCCTTTTCTGCGCCCCCGCGTGCGTCCCCCTCTCCCCTCTCCCCTTCCCCCCTTTTCCTTCCTTCCCCTTCTCTGCCGCCCCCCCTGCGCCCACCCTGTGTTTTCCTCGACATTTCTCCCCCCGCTACTGATCTAACTTTTTGCTATAATTTAAAACATTAATTAAGTAAGTAAGGCAACTAACAAATTTTAATTATATCTATACATTACATGTCTCAATCACAAATACGCATAAAGATATCTCCCTTCATCCCCTTTTTACCCCCGCCTGCCCTGTGCCCCGCGCTGGTTTCCCTTGCCCCCCCCCCCCCCGCCGCCTCCCACAGAAACCGTTCCTGGAATGATGGCCCATGACATGTTCCATGACTCTTTCTTTATTGACTTCTAATGGAACATGCTTCCTATTTTGTTGGGTTCAATGTTGTCTGAATTAATGCCTTCACTTCTTTTATACTCATCTCTTCAAATCCTTTTTCAAATATAATTATTATAATTAAGTCATAACATTAGCAAAATTAATAATAAAAAAATAAACAATATAAAAATTAAACGTGATTTAGTATATATATATTAATTAGTATATTTTTTAAAATTTTATAGAAGATAATTTATATAGTTAGATAAAGAATAATATTTTACAATACTAAATAGAGTAAAATTATATTAAGCTCCACAATATTAATTCTAAACACTTTTAAAATATTAATTGAATATATTTAACATGTACTTTTAATTAATTATCTTAAATATATTAATCACTGTCATGCTATTTTTCCATCACACACTTCGTTGATTCACATTCAGATTCCGACAGATGCATTTGTTAATGTATAACCACAAGCATGTTGATTGATCTGGCAGACAATAATTTTTTTAGTACTCATTTAATTATTGTGTTATATAAGCTCAAACACCTAATTAAGTGATATACACAAACTTTAATTTATGAAATTATAGTGTGAATTCACAAAAACACAGATATTAGAAATAATAAGAAACTGAAAATGTCCAATACATTGTTTTGGATAAAAGAAAATAAATATTAGGCCTTTTTCAACACTTTTTATTATTTTCTATTTTGTTAGAAAAAATATAAAAAATTTAGTCAAACAAAATCATGATACTAATTCCACTGATATTTTCATTCACACTGCTCAAATCATGAAAGTGGAAGTACTCAATTTCAAGATAGCTGAACACATGTCATCCACTTGAAATCTAGTTAGATCTATTTGTGTTCATACAAGGTGCCAAATTTATTAATATCTCACCCACTTTATTTAACCAATACATAAAAAATATATTTAACAATAACTAAAAAGTTCAATAATAAAAGAATAATAATATTTTCATAACATTTTTTTACAACATTTTAATATCATCTATCTGTCATTGATCAATAGCAGAATAACACATAAATGATGTTAAAATGTTGTAAAAAATGTTATCAAAAATATCATTATCCATAATAAAAACATAACTGCAATGTATTGAATTATTTTTGAAATTATCATTTTCCTCTTATTCATGAAATTACTATATTTTTCTTTAAAATTAAGATAATTTCAACATGGCCCATTATCTTAAATAATAAAATAAGAATATTAAATTACAATGTGGTACTTATTAAATAAACACTTTCTTAAACATTAAACGTTTTCATACTTTAAAATTAACTAGTTAATTTGTAAATTTTGTTTTCTAAAATCTAACTTTTTTTTTCTGATACACATTTACGTAAAATTTACGTTTCCTTTTTCATGTAAATGTACGTAATGATGTTTTCTTTCAACATTCTCTAAACTAAAAATTGGACGAGAGATGATTTTTCTATTTTTGGAAGAGTTTAATATGCATGTATAATAGTTACATTTTTGGAATATAGTATTTGCAAAGATAATTAAACTTAACACATATAATTACATTAATTACATAACAGTTTAATGTTTGTATGACTCGTCCTTATTAAACTTAGCATCATAACACATGGAAATAAATGCTTTCACGTGGAAATCAATTTATGTGAATATATGGTAAAATTTCACCCTTTACTTCACTTAAATTCTATATCTGAAAATATATTAGAGTAAGTTACACTCATCATTCTTATTTATTTTTTAATTTCCTCATATAATAATATTTTTAGAGACCCAGTAAATATTTTTCAACATTATATTAACAAATTTTATATATTTCCACTATGCACCCAAATTATTTTTATACTTATGAAACAATAGAGATATTATATATTACGAGTAATTAAAAAAAATTAATGAAAAATTATCTTAATTTACTTAATATATTACTAATAAAATTAATAAGTAAATTTTATTCTGTGATCCAACGACCAAGTGAAATTCACCTTAAATAGGATGTATTAGAAAGAGGAACCTTCACTCCAAAACCGTGTCAGTTCCCACGCACTCAACCAACCATTCTTATTTCGTTTCCTTTGGCTTCTTCTTTGGACTCTTCCTTTTCTCTCTTTCTCTCTCAATTTTGCTTTTCCCTATTCATTTTCTGGGGCTGCCTTTCTGCAATTACAGACAGCATAGATTACTTCAACATGGTCTCTTGATCGCGCTTTGCATTTGGGTGGTGAGAAACTAAATTACCTTCATTGCTTCTGTAATTTATATTGTTTGTACGTTGAAGCATAGTTATTATATATTCTGGCTTTGACTGATTGCGAGATTGAAACCACTTGTTTTGGAAGTTTTTAAATTTCTATCTGTGTTTTTTTTTTCAATAACTGGAAGTCTGTTGGGTGTGATTTGTGCAGGGAAAAAGAGAAGAACTCGGGGAGCTTAAAAAATCGGTTTTGTTTTTGCTTTGCATTTGGGTGTGATCGAGTTCCTTCCCTTTCTCCTTTGAAAGGCATCTGCAACCATGCGAGTGTGGACCCTTTTGCTGCTGCTGCTGCTACTACTACTTAGGAGTGATGCCGTGCACTCCGATTCCGAGTACTTGATTGGTGTTGGAAGCTATGACATTACTGGTCCTGCAGCTGATGTCAATATGATGGGTTATGCTAACGCGGAGCAAATTGCTTCTGGCGTTCACTTCAGGCTGCGGGCTAGAGCTTTTATTGTTGCTCAGCCTGAGGGTAATCGGGTAGTATTCGTGAACCTCGATGCTTGCATGGCTTCTCAACTTGTGGTCATCAAAGTGATTGAGAGGCTGAAAGCAAGGTATCAATAATGACTTCTTTAATCTCAAGAGATTATTATGATAGTTACTTATAGAAATTATGGAAGATTGATTATAGGACAGAGATTTTCTTATAACCGCCAAGCCAAACAAGCCACTGTGGCATGGCTTGACAAATAACTGCCTGTAGCTTTCAGGCTTGGAGTTTGAGGGGTTGTGGACCATCTGGGTGCGTAAATAAGTCTCAAATGGCTGACCTACACTGGTAAATCTGGCCATTTACTTTGATCAACTCACTCTAACACGCTAACAGTGGAGAGGCCCTAAGGCCTTAGGAGACATTGGCCCCTCAAATCTTCAAGTCCTGTACGATACAGTTCTAGATCCTCCCCACATGCAGCTAATGACCACTCACTCCACCTGCCAGAAAAAGAGGAGGTGAACCGTTGGAGGACACACTTGTTGAATAGGCATGACTGGCCCTGGTGACACCAAGTCATGGTTGTTTGAATCTCACCTGGTTTTCTTGAGTTCACACTGAGCTTTAGGACTCTCCTGCGAGTGTGTTCTCTAGCATGAATAACAGCTGATGTTTCCATTTAATTTTGTTTGATCCCTATCTTATGTGCCTGATCTTGCACTTTATTTTGTTTGACAGATATGGTGACCTTTACACCGAAAAGAATGTGGCTATTAGTGGAATTCACACTCATGCTGGTCCTGGGGGTTATCTCCAATATGTCGTGTACATTGTGACATCTCTTGGATTTGTTCGGCAGTCATTTGATGTCATTGTCGATGGCATTGTTAATAGTGTAGTCCAAGCCCATGAAAATCTCCGGCCGGGATCAATATTTGTCAATAAGGGTAAGGAAAAGACTCGTCATTCCTTCTCAGTCCTTTATCCCTTGGCTGCTTATAAAAAATGCAAGCACATGTGGATGAATTTTGCATCCTGTTAAAGCATGTCAGAAAAAAATTAAAAAATGCAGGAAACAAGTTGGTTAGTTTTAGTTTTACATCCATGTTCAGTTGTCTGAGTCATCAGCATCAATTTCTTTAAATTTCATATTCAAATTTAATTCTTTAGAGATGAAAAGATGAGGAAATTATAAAAACAAGTGGATAGTCACGTATTCACCATCAAAAGTAGGTAATTTACCGACATGGTGCAAGGATCTTGCATTGCACTTCACTCGTGAGTGGGATACTTTATTGGGTTTGAGGGATAAGAAAAATCAATTTACTGTCCATCCCTCTTTGCATTATCAACATAGGCACCTTGAAAGAATAATAAGTAAAATAAAAAAATGAGGTTCTAATAATAAGTGAGTTCTCTTGAATGAATAGCCAGCAGTGACTACAATACCTATATTAATAAGTTTATCCCAAGAAATTTATAAGAATCATGAATGAGATTGGCTTTACCTTTTTCTTCCAGGCTGCTGCTTTTTACTGACATTTTTATCTGTATTAAGAATTTGTTAATCGTTATTTTGAAGCTATCAATGTATTTGTTAGCAACTGTGACTGTTGGTAGCCAAATGTTTAGCCTATTGTGTCATTTCTCCCCTCTCTTTGGTGATATCTCATGGTTTGAGATAAATTATCTCCAACTTGCAGGAGAGCTATTAGATGCTGGTGTAAATCGCAGTCCCAGTGCTTATCTCAACAACCCTGAGGCAGAGAGAAGCAAATACAAGTACAATGTTGATAAAGAAATGACTTTGTTGAAGTTTGTTGATGATGAATGGGGTCCTTCGGGAAGTTTCAATTGGTTTGCTACTCATGGTACTTCAATGAGCCGAACAAACTCGTTAATTAGTGGGGATAATAAGGGTGCAGCTGCACGATTTATGGAAGACTGGTTTGAGCGAAAAGGGTCTGTAAGAATGGATTCTGTTGGATTTGAAAATGATGGAATCCCTCGAAGAATTTCAAACATAATTCCCAATGTTCATGATACATGTAAGTTTTTTTTGCTTTTTAGCTACAATGGATTCGCTAAGTAACTTCTCTTCCATTTAGTACATGCATTAAATAACTTCGGATTTTACAAGTGTATGCCATGGGAGTCCATTGTCCTAGCATGGAATGGTGGTTTGACCAAAGGATTCTCCCCTATTTTGTTAGAAACTAGATTACATAAAAATATCTTATCATATTTTGTTCGCCAGTAGTTCTCGTCTTGTTGTATTTCTCTTGTTGTCTGGTAGCTACACTTGTCTTGTTGTGTGCTTTGTTTTTGGGTTTTTGGTCAGTTGCTCTCTCTTATTCGAGGGTTGTGCTAACCAAATCACAAGGTATATAAACAAGCAAAGCCTCCAAACGAAGAGAGTATGCAAAATAAAAAATAAGCAGAACAGAGGGTAATGCGTGGGATTGATTCATGTAGTTAGTTACATTGTTTCTGAACTCTGATTTGGTGCTTCTAAGTTTTACAAGTCTTGTCATGAAGTCCTGATACTGAGGAGATGAGGGGGTTGTCTATGTACTTTTATTTAGATTAAATATCCCGATTGAGCAAACTTGTGATGAACCATACATGTCATACCTTTCTTTATATATGTGCCATAAATAGGTCATAAAAAGGTGGATATTTGATAACAATAGTAATTAATAAATGAATATGCTTCTAATCTCACTTAAAATTTATTGGTGCAGACCATAAATTACTGGAGATTGCAGCCTCATTCCAATCTCCTCCCGGTAAACCGGCAACCAAAGTTTCAAGTGTGGCTCGACGTGTGAGAGGTGTCCTTAGGCAGGTCGACAAGCCTAAATTTGTATCTGCATTTTGTCAATCAAACTGTGGAGATGTTAGTCCAAATGTGCTCGGAGCTTTTTGTATAGACACTAAACTACCTTGTGACTTCAATCATAGTACATGTGGAGGAAAGAATGAATTGTGTTATGGCCGAGGACCTGGGTAATTTTTTTTGGATGCTCAATGCTTCTTAATTTTTTACAAATTCCTAAGCTTTCATGATTTTTGCTAAAGTGCCCCGATAAATTGATGTGGCAGTTATCCAGACGAATTTGAAAGTACACGTATTATAGGAGAGAGACAGTTTAAAAAAGCAGTGGAGCTATTCAATGCAGCATCTGAACAGATTAAAGGGAAGGTTGATTTTCGACATGCTTTCATAGATTTCTCTCAGCTTGAGGTAAATCTTTCTAAAGTTGGTGTTTCTGAGGTCGTAAAAACATGCCCTGCTGCAATGGGATTCGCATTTGCTGCTGGAACAACAGATGGACCTGGAGCTTTTGACTTTAAGCAAGGTGATGATCAGGTAACCTTCGTTAAGAGCCTATAGCTTAACTATTATCCTAGCGTTGTATTATTAAATAATCTTAGAAGTCTGTATATTCTTCTTAATCATATGTCAGGGAAATCCTTTCTGGAAGCTGGTCCGCAACTTAATTAAAACACCAGGCAAGGAGCAAATGGACTGTCAACACCCAAAGCCCATTTTGCTTGATACCGGCGAAATGAAGCTACCATATGATTGGGCAGTAAGTTACTCATAGATACTGAATAACACGTCTTCTAATCTCCTAGCTCAGTTCAATTACTGTGTGATCTGAAATATAAAAAGACGGAGGATTGATGGTAATAGAGACTATTTCCGCAGATTATTTACTTTCCTCAGAGTTTTTTATAACTTCTCCTGGCACATGCACTATAATTTCTTTACTAAATTCAGTAAATCTGATTGAAAACTGATTTTATAGTATCACTCTTGTATCTAGAAGTCTTGTTTTTTCTTGATAAAGAAGTCCTGTTATGCATTTTCTCCATTTATTATGCCAAATGTTTTTCCAAGACCTGTATTTGACGTTCTTTGATGATATCTCTTTCTCATATCACAAGGCACTTTTACTCATCTGAACGTTGATTATCTCATGTTAAATTACAGCCTTCAATACTTCCAATCCAGATCCTCCGAGTTGGGCAGTTTGTTATTCTTAGTGTACCTGGAGGTATGAGCTTATAGTCACAATTTCTTATAATGTTATTGTTGGAATTTCTATCCTTTCCATTTTGAAACGTTCAAGTTTCAACTAGCCACAGCCTTGGACAAATGAAAATATATTCATCTGGTTAATGAAAATCAAAACTAAGTTGTTGAACACCGCTGAACTGAAAAGAGAAAATTATGCACACGTTGAACTCCTATTGGCACCATGCTATTTTGATGATATGTATTCCAGCAATACTGGGTGCAATTCAAAGGATGGCTGCATCTTAGCTATTAAAACCTTGATACTATATTACATATATTCGATGTCTTTTTCTTCCATTGCAGATTGATATGTATTTGTAAAGTGTTTGTGAATTGTTGCGAGCCTATCCATTTCTTTGAATTCTCATGCTTTTAGTAACTGTTTTAATTCTGACAGAATTCACAACAATGGCTGGGAGGCGACTTCGTGATGCAGTCAGAACAGTTCTAAGTGGCAACAAAGGCTTCGGTAGCAACATTCATGTTGTTATAGCGGGGTTGACCAATACTTATTCACAGTATGTGACTACTTACGAAGAGTACGAGATGCAGAGATATGAGGTCAGTTACACTTGTGAAAAGAGACATAAAGCATGGAACAAACATTTTTAGATTGCTGCAGCATCAGTAAAAGTTTATGCTTTTAGCTATGCAACTTATTATCAAATAACATATTTCATATTGACAAGAGATGTTCATCTTCATAACTTCAATTTTCATGTTACAAGGGTGCTTCCACACTGTACGGTCCACACACACTGAGTGCTTACATTCAGGAGTTTACAAAGCTTGCGCGTGCTCTCATCAGTGGTCAGCCTGTAGAACCAGGTCCTCAGCCCCCAGATCTCTTAGATAAGCAAATAAGCCTCTTAACTCCAGTTGTGATGGATGCAACTCCTATTGGTGTGAAGTTCGGGGATTGTAGTTCTGATGTTCCCAAGAACTCCACTTTTAAGCGAGGTGACATGGTGTCTGTCACTTTCTGGTCTGCATGCCCTCGTAATGACCTTATGACTGAAGGTACATTTTCCCTGGTGGAATTTCTCCAAGCAAAGACTACTTGGGTTTCTGCTTATGATGATGATGATTTTTGCTTGCGCTTCAAATGGTCAAGACCTTTCAAACTCAGTTCTCACAGTAAAGCCACCATAGAATGGAGAATCCCGCAGGATGCTGCTCCTGGTATATACAGAATCAAACATTTTGGTGCTGCAAAAGGTTTATTGGGGTCAATTCGTCACTTTACAGGTTCATCTAGTGCATTTGTAGTTGCATAGCAAAGGGAGGGATACTATTTGATGATCATACATGTTCAATGGTCTGTATTCTATTAGAGAACTGAATTGCAGCACACTGCATTAAATCAAGGATGATTCCATCGGTTATTATTTCTTACGTACTATTCTCTATCTCCTTTCCTACACATTCTATAACTAACAAATTTCTTTATATATATATATTATTTGGAGGGAAGATATCATAGTAGTTATTATTAAGAAAAGAATTTATTACAAGATTCCTTATCAACATAATCTTAGTCAAATTTTAAGACATTTCAATTGTGATATTTTTTTTACCATAGATAAAAAAAATTGAGTTCCATTTGATGCAGAGATTCACATAAACCATGATGACTTGTGGTTCTACAATAAATAATAATTTTCATATTATAAAAAGTTATTTTTGTGAAAAATGATGCTTCTTTTTTGTGTTGTTAAAGATTTTTAGCATCAATTTTGACGTCATAACAGTGCTACCTCTACTAAAACTAGACTTTAATTTCTAAACTTAGTGAGTTAAATTATTTTATACTGTTAAAATAAAATAAAGGATACTTAAATATGACTTACAAAATATGTGAAAAGAATATACCTTAAAATAATTATTGTAAAATGAACTAAATAGCTATATGTATATATATATCACAATTTGCTCTGTAGATTATTTGAATTGTAATTTTAGTGAAATAATTTGAAGTAGTTGAACTGTTATTTGGTTGGAATAAAGGAAATGAAGTATTTGTAAGAAAAAGGAAATGAAACATAAAAAGTAATTTATTTATTTATTTAACAGTACGACGACGTTTAGCACGAGTGGTTTTCTAGTTTCTAGACCGGGAAGCAGCAGCAACTGTGTCGAATAGCGTTTTGCCAGGGGAAGAAGAGAGAAAGGGCGTGGGCACACACACACACACTCATATATTCTGAGCTGAGTAAGATTTTAAACAGCAGCAGAAGAAGCAGGTGACCGTGGAAATGTCAGTGCAAGAGTACCTGGATAAGCACTTACTTTCCCGAAAACTCGAAGATGCCGTCAATGCCGCCGTTAGGGCCAAGACCTCCGATCCCGTTCTCTTCATCGTATCTCTCTGCCTCTCGTCTCTTTTCGTGTTTTTTCTTTCTCTCACTTCTCATCGGAATTTCTCACCATGCTTTTTTTTGCCGTGACCACAGTCGAATCACATGAAAAAAGCAGTGCAATCGGTGATAACAAAAGTCAAGGCCAGGCAGATCCTCGATAGTAGAGGGATTCCAACCGTCGAAGTCGACTTGTACACTAACAAAGGAATGTTTCGCGCTTCGGTTCCTAGCGGCAACTCCACCGGCATGTAAACCTTCTTACTCCTTTTAGCCGCAATCGCTCTCACCGTTTTATTCATCGCTCTCGTTCAATTCATTGTCGGTTTTGTTGGTTCATGATTCCTTTCAGGTACGAAGCTGTCGAGCTACGGGATGGAGACAAAGGAGTGTATCTCGGAAATGGCGTGGCCAAAGCTGTTAAAAATATCAATGACAAAATAGCTGAGGCATTGGTCGGCATGGATCCCACGCTTCAGTCGCAGATTGATCAGGCCATGATAGACCTCGACAGAACTGAGAAGAAGGTTATTTAATGTTTCTGCGCTATGAAGTCATTGAATTGATTGTTAATATGCCATAGTACTTTTGTTTTCGTTCAATGCTTCTTCGATTATTTTACATTTCAAAATGAATTTTGCTACTAATTAGGTAAAATGCTATGAAAAGGTTGAATAATATTATCCTATGGTTTTCTGTCTTTCTCTAGTCAAGGATTTAGCTTTTCTTAGTTACGTTGATGAACACAACTCAGATCAGCAAACTCAATAGTTTCTGATTCTGTTTCACCAAAGGAATGTAAGTCTCTATAAGATTATTTGTTTCTGAAATGCTGTAAAATAGACGCATTTGTGTCGGGTAGTCAGCTACAATCATAAAACATCGGCTGTTGGAAATATGATAAATTCATACATGATGTTATAGAAGCATAATTTGCTTTTCTCTTGGTTTGTGCGGTCTTAGTTTCCTTTTTGGTTTCAAATAGTTCAAATCCACGATATAATTTTCTCATGATACTTTCTAGTGATTACCTTTCTTTTATATTCTTCTGGAGAGCTTGATGAAGGCAGTTCGTGTGACTGATTCTTATATCATGCATTTGTTGTGGACAGAACTTATACATGCATTCTTGAATAATTTGTCTTAACGAGATAGGTCTCCCAATATTGTATTTTATCTTTTCTGTTTCTAATGTTATTTACAGGGGGAACTTGGAGCCAATGCTATATTAGCTGTGTCCATTGCTGCTTGTAGAGCTGGTGCGGCTGAAAAGGAGGTATAACTGTCAAATAATATTTCTATAAGTTCATTTAACTTTAAATCTGCAAATAAGTATATATGTTCAGTCATGATATCAAGAAAATAAAGGCAAAAACATACCAGGTATCACTTTACAAGCACATTGCCGACCTGTCTGGAAAAACCAACCCAACACTTCCTGTTCCCGCCTTCACTGTAATAAGTGGTGGAAAACACGCAGGGAGTAATCTGGCCATTCAGGTATAGTTTCTTTTGCAGTTTAGTTTCTTAGACATTCTCATTAGTGTTCTACCAGTCTTACCTCCATTAGGCTTGTGTTCCTTTCATCTAACAAAGTAATGAGTAGTGAAATTAAATAATAAACGAATATGGAAATATTACATTATATGTCAAATTAATAGTAAAGTGACCCGGGGCTCATACATTTCATTGTAACTAGCTTATACATTTTCATTGTAACTAGCTTATACATTTTCATTGTAACCAACACAGATTTAATCATCTAGGGCATAACTTTGTCAATTTGTTGTGTTTTATTTTGCTCTTTATTTTCAGACCTTCTAAACAGACATAGTTTCCTATGTGATTTGGACCCTTTATTTCTTATATAATTCCTGGTAGGAAATCATGGTTCTCCCAATTGGAGCAAGCAAATTTGAGGAAGCACTGAGAATGGGTACTGAGACCTATCATCACTTAAAGGTGGTTTTGCTTGATTTCTTGTTTTATTTTTATTCTATCCTGTTGCTTTTACTTTTTGTGTTTAGCGATCTTTTTCTTTTAACTGCACTCATTAGTATGTTCCCGAGCTAGAAACATATCAACTTTAGCTGTGGCATTTGGTTGGATTGTTGTTTAGCAGGCTTACAACTATTTAGATCCCATTCTATTGCTACTAGTAGTACTACTATAGTTTTTACCTTTGGTTTTGCTCACAATTTGGTGGTATTTGGTCTTCATTGATTTAGCAACCCAATCTGCCATGTCCCATCCCATATGCATGTTTTTTCATCAATAGTGGATAAAAAAATATTAGTAGTCACTTGCGGATGTCATATTTAAGCTGATGCATTTATTTATTGTTGATGACAAAAGGGCAGGCTGTCATTACAGAAAAATCTGGTGCACATAACTGTAATGTTGGTGAAGATGGTGGCTATGCTCCTAATATCTCCAGGCAAGCTTTTTATTTTGTTGAATTATTTGATTTCAACAGCTTTTGAAAATTGTTCACGGTTAAATACAACAAATCCTTTTTCCACTTTTTGGTCAGTTATGTGGATCACATGGCACCATAAACTTCTATGAAGTTCTTAACTGTTAAATGAATAGCATAAAATAGGGGAAACGTCTCCATTTTAGAAGGAAATAAAGAAAGCAAAAAGTATCTCCAAAAACTGCTGTATATAGTATTTTATCCAATATAATTTGACTTGTTCTACTGCTGTAATTTTAATTTCTCTAACTGTACATTGTCATTTGTTGGATACATTGATGTGATATCTCTATTCCTTATAAATATGTGAAATCTGTGATAAACTTGTGATGAAAATAATTTGATTTTTATTTCCTCTTAAACTAGCATTTTCTTTTAGTCAACATATTTGAACTGCAACATGTTTTTAATAAAAGTTAGAGTGCTAAGGCATCATCACTATGTTGTTTGCCAAAATGCTGCATGTGATAATCACTATGTTTTCTTCTACATGGTAAATGTTGCTATGTTTTATGATTACCATTTGAATTTTAGGATCACTAAACCAGCTAGTTTACTATGTGTACAAATATTTTTAAACTCAGGTGAAATATAAACATATAACTTAGAATCTAAAGTTTGCAGATTTAAATAGAAAAAGAAGTGGTTTGAAGTTACAAAAAATTATATGCAGAATTAATTCCTATAGAATTTCGACTGTAAATTTAAAATAAGTTGAGTGACAGGTCATTGTTGAAGAGAGACTACATTAATATATTAAGTTACTTTCATGCGAGTGCACTCTAAAAATTAATATAAATGTGTGGGTTTTATTAATCTTATCTTACATGTTTTTTGTTATTAATGTTATTTTCAGCTAACTATCTAGATCTTTAAGCAACTAAAGATTCAATGTCAAATTTGTATATTTTTTTAAACATCAAATCAATACATATTTACGAAACTTTCAACTGGCCAATCTCGTTATAGAAGTATTTCTCAACTCTAATAAGATTAATTTTAAAGGTCTTTTTATTTTATTTCTATTTTTTAGCTAACTGTATTTAAGTATCATCAGCTTTAGAGAAGCCCTGGATCTTGTCAAGGAGGCCATTAGCAGAACTGGTTATAATGACAAAATAAAGATAGCTCTTGATGTTTCTGCTACAAATTTTTGCATAGGTAAGCATAGGGTTCTATCATCTTTTACTTTTAGATTCTTTAGAAGATAGAATTTGGTGATACTTGCTTACTTGAATATTGCTTATTGTTATTATAATTTGACTGTTGCAGCAGTGCTTTGCTAACTGTTTTACTGTGTAGTTTACTTTCTAAGAGATGTAAAAATAACAATATTATCTCTAAATAGTACTTCAATCATGGCTATAATTCCAGTTAGGGATATGCCATTTTCAACTTGGATTCTGAATCTTGTTATGCAAGTATTACATGACCTGGTATGTGATAATTGTTATTTATTTGGAGAGGAGTGGGAGTTACAGGGTAACCACTTTTAATTTATTCAATTTAGAGAAATAAATAAGGGTTCGACAGAGTAAGAGGTAGACAGACTTTAAAAGTGTTATGGGATGCCCATGGGTGATTGTTATGAATTTCTATCTCAAGAGTCTGTTATTGAATTTTTTTGTCATGCTTGATCATTCTAATGTTTTATTGTTAACTAGTACTTTAGCCTGTTTCAATGCATAGGATGAATGGTTATTTTATACAACTAATTTACAATAAATAAATGTTTTTTATAAAATTTATATTATAATAATTAAATTTCATAACAAATAAATACTTTTAAACATAAAAATTATATCTTAGATTTTTTTTATAAGCAATTTATATTATGATACATGGTTATTTTAACTATTGATAATTTATTTTTAAAAACATTGAAATTTAATTTAGAAATAAGTTTGAAAAATATAAATACTGTTAAATGATATCGTTAACCTCTCTGGTTGAAGAATAGTTCGTAAAAATACTCTTATTTAAGATAACTATTCTATTTTATATAGAGAGGATATTAATACTATGCTTGATAGTTAATTTATGAACATAGCTACTGCAAAATGTTACGGTATGTCACTATTGACTGTTTTCATCTTTTTCTAATGCTAACGCCATTTTCTGTCATGCAACCTTGCTCACCTCTGTTAAAACCCCCTTCTACTTTTTGGGCTCCTTTTACCTTTGAATAAATTTGACCAGGTTATCCCGTTATTTATATATGCTTTTTTCCTGTTATAGGTAAAAGATANAAAAAGCAGTGCAATCGGTGATAACAAAAGTCAAGGCCAGGCAGATCCTCGATAGTAGAGGGATTCCAACCGTCGAAGTCGACTTGTACACTAACAAAGGAATGTTTCGCGCTTCGGTTCCTAGCGGCAACTCCACCGGCATGTAAACCTTCTTACTCCTTTTAGCCGCAATCGCTCTCACCGTTTTATTCATCGCTCTCGTTCAATTCATTGTCGGTTTTGTTGGTTCATGATTCCTTTCAGGTACGAAGCTGTCGAGCTACGGGATGGAGACAAAGGAGTGTATCTAGGAAATGGCGTGGCCAAAGCTGTTAAAAATATCAATGACAAAATAGCTGAGGCATTGGTCGGCATGGATCCCACGCTTCAGTCGCAGATTGATCAGGCCATGATAGACCTCGACAGAACTGAGAAGAAGGTTATTTAAAGTTTCTGCGCTATGAAATCATTGAATTGATTGTTAATATGCCATAGTACTTTTGTTTTCGTTCAATGCTTCTTCGATTATTTTACATTTCAAAATGAATTTTGCTACTAATTAGGTAAAATGCTATGAAAAGGTTGAATAATATTATCCTATGGTTTTCTGTCTTTCTCTAGTCAAGGATTTAGCTTTTCTTAGTTACGTTGATGAACACAACTCAGATCAGCAAACTCAATAGTTTCTGATTCTGTTTCACCAAAGGAATGTAAGTCTCTATAAGATTATTTGTTTCTGAAATGCTGTAAAATAGACGCATTTGTGTCGGGTAGTCAGCTACAATCATAAAACATCGGCTGTTGGAAATATGATAAATTCATACATGATGTTATAGAAGCATAATTTGCTTTTCTCTTGGTTTGTGCGATCTTAGTTTCCTTTTTGGTTTCAAATAGTTCAAATCCACGATATAATTTTCTCATGATACTTTCTAGTGATTACCTTTCTTTTATATTCTTCTGGAGAGCTTGATGAAGGCAGTTCGTGTGACTGATTCTTATATCATGCATTTGTTGTGGACAGAACTTATACATGCATTCTTGAATAATTTGTCTTAACGAGATAGGTCTCCCAATATTGTATTTTATCTTTTCTGTTTCTAATGTTATTTACAGGGGGAACTTGGAGCCAATGCTATATTAGCTGTGTCCATTGCTGCTTGTAGAGCTGGTGCGGCTGAAAAGGAGGTATAACTGTCAAATAATATTTCTATAAGTTCATTTAACTTTAAATCTGCAAATAAGTATATATGTTCAGTCATGATATCAAGAAAATAAAGGCAAAAACATACCAGGTATCACTTTACAAGCACATTGCCGACCTGTCTGGAAAAACCAACCCAACACTTCCTGTTCCCGCCTTCACTGTAATAAGTGGTGGAAAACACGCAGGGAGTAATCTGGCCATTCAGGTATAGTTTCTTTTGCAGTTTAGTTTCTTAGACATTCTCATTAGTGTTCTACCAGTCTTACCTCCATTAGGCTTGTGTTCCTTTCATCTAACAAAGTAATGAGTAGTGAAATTAAATAATAAACGAATATGGAAATATTACATTATATGTCAAATTAATAGTAAAGTGACCCGGGGCTCATACATTTCATTGTAACTAGCTTATACATTTTCATTGTAACTAGCTTATACATTTTCATTGTAACCAACACAGATTTAATCATCTAGGGCATAACTTTGTCAATTTGTTGTGTTTTATTTTGCTCTTTATTTTCAGACCTTCTAAACAGACATAGTTTCCTATGTGATTTGGACCCTTTATTTCTTATATAATTCCTGGTAGGAAATCATGGTTCTCCCAATTGGAGCAAGCAAATTTGAGGAAGCACTGAGAATGGGTACTGAGACCTATCATCACTTAAAGGTGGTTTTGCTTGATTTCTTGTTTTATTTTTATTCTATCCTGTTGCTTTTACTTTTTGTGTTTAGCGATCTTTTTCTTTTAACTGCACTCATTAGTATGTTCCCGAGCTAGAAACATATCAACTTTAGCTGTGGCATTTGGTTGGATTGTTGTTTAGCAGGCTTACAACTATTTAGATCCCATTCTATTGCTACTAGTAGTACTACTATAGTTTTTACCTTTGGTTTTGCTCACAATTTGGTGGTATTTGGTCTTCATTGATTTAGCAACCCAATCTGCCATGTCCCATCCCATATGCATGTTTTTTCATCAATAGTGGATAAAAAAATATTAGTAGTCACTTGCGGATGTCATATTTAAGCTGATGCATTTATTTATTGTTGATGACAAAAGGGCAGGCTGTCATTACAGAAAAATCTGGTGCACATAACTGTAATGTTGGTGAAGATGGTGGCTATGCTCCTAATATCTCCAGGCAAGCTTTTTATTTTGTTGAATTATTTGATTTCAACAGCTTTTGAAAATTGTTCACGGTTAAATACAACAAATCCTTTTTCCACTTTTTGGTCAGTTATGTGGATCACATGGCACCATAAACTTCTATGAAGTTCTTAACTGTTAAATGAATAGCATAAAATAGGGGAAACGTCTCCATTTTAGAAGGAAATAAAGAAAGCAAAAAGTATCTCCAAAAACTGCTGTATATAGTATTTTATCCAATATAATTTGACTTGTTCTACTGCTGTAATTTTAATTTCTCTAACTGTACATTGTCATTTGTTGGATACATTGATGTGATATCTCTATTCCTTATAAATATGTGAAATCTGTGATAAACTTGTGATGAAAATAATTTGATTTTTATTTCCTCTTAAACTAGCATTTTCTTTTAGTCAACATATTTGAACTGCAACATGTTTTTAATAAAAGTTAGAGTGCTAAGGCATCATCACTATGTTGTTTGCCAAAATGCTGCATGTGATAATCACTATGTTTTCTTCTACATGGTAAATGTTGCTATGTTTTATGATTACCATTTGAATTTTAGGATCACTAAACCAGCTAGTTTACTATGTGTACAAATATTTTTAAACTCAGGTGAAATATAAACATATAACTTAGAATCTAAAGTATGCAGATTTAAATAGAAAAAGAAGTGGTTTGAAGTTACAAAAAATTATATGCAGAATTAATTCCTATAGAATTTCGACTGTAAATTTAAAATAAGTTGAGTGACAGGTCATTGTTGAAGAGAGACTACATTAATATATTAAGTTACTTTCATGCGAGTGCACTCTAAAAATTAATATAAATGTGTGGGTTTTATTAATCTTATCTTACATGTTTTTTGTTATTAATGTTATTTTCAGCTAACTATCTAGATCTTTAAGCAACTAAAGATTCAATGTCAAATTTGTATATTTTTTTAAACATCAAATCAATACATATTTACGAAACTTTCAACTGGCCAATCTCGTTATAGAAGTATTTCTCAACTCTAATAAGATTAATTTTAAAGGTCTTTTTATTTTATTTCTATTTTTTAGCTAACTGTATTTAAGTATCATCAGCTTTAGAGAAGCCCTGGATCTTGTCAAGGAGGCCATTAGCAGAACTGGTTATAATGACAAAATAAAGATAGCTCTTGATGTTTCTGCTACAAATTTTTGCATAGGTAAGCATAGGATTCTATCATCTTTTACTTTTAGATTCTTTAGAAGATAGAATTTGGTGATACTTGCTTACTTGAATATTGCTTATTGTTATTATAATTTGACTGTTGCAGCAGTGCTTTGCTAACTGTTTTACTGTGTAGTTTACTTTCTAAGAGATGTAAAAATAACAATATTATCTCTAAATAGTACTTCAATCATGGCTATAATTCCAGTTAGGGATATGCCATTTTCAACTTGGATTCTGAATCTTGTTATGCAAGTATTACATGACCTGGTATGTGATAATTGTTATTTATTTGGAGAGGAGTGGGAGTTACAGGGTAACCACTTTTAATTTATTCAATTTAGAGAAATAAATAAGGGTTCGACAGAGTAAGAGGTAGACAGACTTTAAAAGTGTTATGGGATGCCCATGGGTGATTGTTATGAATTTCTATCTCAAGAGTCT